GTAGAGCAGGTCGAACTTTTCGGACATCAGCAGGATACAACGGAGTCCCGGGCCATTGGTGCAGACGACGACGTTACCTCCCTGGCATATGGCGGGGCGTATTTTTTTCATGAGACTGCTCATCGACATCCCGCTGGTATTCCTGTGAGTGCAGAGGCGCTTCGTGATGCGGGGATGGCCTCGATGCTTGGCCCCCGACCTGAGGAGAAAGTGGAGCTTTACGTCAATGCCTTGTTCGCACAGCCGCGATTTTTTCGTCTTGGGAAAGACTTCCCGGCGATTGACGACCGACGTGCCGTTGTCGAGGATGACGAGACCGGGAGCGCCGTCTTGGCCACCTCGCTTTGGGCTGTCGCGCATGAGGCTGAGGGGGATATCATTCTTCCCGTCGTGAGCCCGCAGTGCGCGCTTGCGCAGCTCGCTCTTAAAGGTAGCGTGGCGCTCGCGGAACTCAAGCGCGCGCTCTCCCGGGAGCAGCAAAACCGCGAGGCGATGGATACATCCCGCTCGAACCTCACCCAACTGCTCCGGAAGGATACCCTTGGCCGGGAAGATCCCTCACCGAGGGTGGATAACGACGAAAATGCCCCTGCTAAGGATCTTTCCGCTTCTTTGCTCCGTGATTCTGATCGTCTGCAATCGGGACAGGAGGAGATGGAAGCGTTAAGGCGTAAGGTGCGCCTTGAACAAGAGGCTCTCGGCTTCAACTCTATCCACCTCCTCTCGGATTCTCGTGGGAAGGGTAAAAGCGATCTGCGTGAGGCTCCAAATCGTGTGAGGCTGTCGAATGAAACCTCCCGCGAGGAACTTCAGCGCGCCTTAAAACGGGAGAAGGTCGAGCGCATTGTGGCTGCACAATCTCAACTCGAAAGCACCGCTGATTCAGAGATGGCGGAGTCACGTCAGGTGGCGATTCATCGAAAACAGGAGCAACTTCCTATATTTCGCTGCCGACGCGAGCTTCTGCGGTATATTGGCGAAAATACCGTTACCATCGTCGTGGGGGAGACCGGGAGCGGGAAGACTACTCAGCTTGTTCGCTATTTATATGAAGAAGGGTACGCACGGCATGGGAAGCTCATCGGATGCACGCAGCCCCGTCGGTTGGCGACTATCGCGGTCGCGCGTCGGGTAAGCGAGGAGATGCGCTGCGCGCTCGGCACCACCGTCGGGTATTCCATCCATCTTGACGACACTACTACTTCTCAAACAAAGGTTAAATTCATGACGGATGGCGTTCTATTGCGGGAGGTTGTAAGAGATCCGGATATGGATTCGTATAGTGTGATTATGATCGATGAGGCCCACGAGCGCTCTGTGGATACTGACGTGTTGATGGGTATTCTTAAAAACGCCATTAGCGATCGTGGGGACCTCAAACTGATCATCTCCTCAGCCACGATGGATGTGGAGAAGTTTTCGCGTTTTTTCGGCAACGCGCCGTTTTACGAAATCCCTGGCCAGACCTATGAGGTGGTGATTCACTACAGCCCGAAGGTGGTGAGCGATTACGTCGCTGAGGCCGTCTTTCGCGTCTGTCAGCTCCACCTGCAGGCGCCGATGGAGGAAGGGCAGGATATTTTAGTTTTTATGACCGGACGGGATGACGTCTACGGCACGTGCGAGCTCATCCGCCGCCGTCTGCGCGAGGTCAGCCCCGGGCATCTCGAGACCCTGCTGCTGCTGCCGTGTTTATCTGAGGCCTCGGGGCTCGTTGAAGCGGGGGCACTTCTGGAAAAAACCCCGCGCGGCCTGCGCAAGTGTGTCGTCGCGACGAACGTGGCGGAGACCTCCCTCACGATTGATGGCGTTCGCTATGTTGTAGACTGCGGCCTGATGAAGACAAAGGTCTTTCGCCCGAGGCTTGGAATGAACACTCTCCAGCGCTACCCCGTCTCACGGGCCCAGGCGAATCAACGAAAAGGCCGAGCGGGGCGGACGGCCGAGGGGGTTTGTTTTCGCCTTTTCACCGACGAGCAGTTCGCGCGGGAGATGTTGTCGAATAGCGTGCCGGAGGTCCAACGCAGCAGCTTGGATAGTGTCCTACTCTTGTTGAAAGGGGTCGGCGTTGGGCGGATTCAGGAGTTCGACTTCCTCGACCCCCCACCGGCCGCGAATATCCGAAGCAGCATGTGGCGTCTGTGGATTCTCGGGATGCTCGACGACGAGGGTGAGATCACAAGAGAAGGGCGCCTCGCGATTGAGTTCCCAATCGCCCCAGCGCTGGCGAAACTCCTCCTGGAGAGCACCAAACACGGCTGTTCCTTTGAAGTTTCTCGCATCGTTGCGCTCATCACGGCGGATCCGAAAAACTTTTTTGAATTACCAAAAGGAAAGGAGGTGGTCGCACAGCAACATTTTGGACGCTTTTTTAACAATGAGTCCGATCATCTCACGTTATTGAATGCCTTTACACAATTTCTGGAAAATGGAAAGTCGCGTCAATGGGCGCAGGATCACTACCTACACTTTCCCACGCTTCTGCGCACGTGGGATGTACTGGAGCAGCTCCTTGATCGCCTTCGTCAGCTGCGTTTGCCGATTGTTTCCTGCCAACAAACGCATGGTGGGGGACTTGACGTGGTGCGGTATTGTCTTGCACATGCTTTTTCTTTGCAAGCCGCGCAGCGCTCGGGATCGAACTGGAATGAGTACCGCGCTCTGCTGAATCTCGGGGTGGTCTGTGCACTACATCCGAGCTCCGCAATCTGCACCTCTGCGGTGATGCCTTCCTTCGTGATCTATAACGATCTTGTATTGGTGAATAAAGAGTATTTGGTATTGGTTACGGCAGTGGAGCCGGAATGGCTCGCAGAGGGTGGGTTGTTTGGGATGAAAAAAAGTGGGAAGACGTCAACGGGGCCGCTCGAACCGGCATTTCCTATCCTAGACAATATGCATAATACGCGGGCTATGGATGGAAGCACTGATAAAAAGCGAGGTGGCAGAGAGAACTTTCATGAGCATAAGACTCCTACGTTGTCAGATGTGGCTGCGAAACTGAAATTGCCCTTCACTACAACTCCACATGTTGGAAGTAAAAACGCGCCCAATTCGTCTAAGTTTGCAGCATCTTTCTCTTCAAAAAGACGAGGAAATATTTAATTGTAATAATTATGGTAATATTTATTGCTATTTCATCTGTCAGTGAGTCTTGTCTTTTAGTTACTTCGGTAATGTACTTCTACAATTATATAATACAGCAGTAAATCAGTATATTTTTCATAGAACATCTTTTCTTTTATTTGCTCTGAACAATTATTTTATCCTTACCTATTTGAGATTGTATTATTATTATTATTATTTTTTCTCATCTGGTTATTAGACAAAAAGAAGGAGTTCAATCAATTTTTATGACCTTCAGTATTGCAATAGGTAGAGACTAAACAACATAAGGATTAAATGTTCTGTTCAAGATAAATGAAACACCGTATTCCGACCCATTCGTGTGAAATGTCTTATCAGGAGAAGAATTAGCAGAACAAAAAATAAAGAGATGACATTAAAAAAGGTATATACTTTTCAGAGGTGTTTATCAAAAGCATTTTTTATACTTGTGTTTACAGTTTGAATGTAAAGACAGGAGTCTTCATTTAGATGGCATTCAAGTTAAAGTTCGTGAGGCAATTCTAGTAGCGCGGAAATTTACTAATGACTCGAATTTTAACCCTATTGGATGAACATAAGATATGCATCTAAACTTTATTGGTTCTTCTTACTATGTTGCTTGAAATGAAAGTACATGCGTGAAATCAGTTTCGATCTTCCCGAACCCTACCCTTCATCTTCATTCGCTTTCAAAATATTCTATAGGTCGCTTATGTGTGTGCATAGTCCACTACATCAACTTTTTCACCGAAATCCCCCCCTATTATCTACAAGTTACATCGTGTTGTAAATGCCTGTGGGTCCAGGCATATCCAAACCCTAACGCTGCGGTGGAACGATAATGACATCCTTCATCCCCTCAAGACCACCTAATGAAAAAAAACCCTGTGTCAACACCGTCACCCAGGCCGTAAGACGCCATCTGAGGCCGGGTCCTCTGCTTGACCCCTCCACCCTATCTTTCACAACTGTTGACACGAAAGACCTCGGGAAGGAACCCGCGCGGACGAGCCTGCCATCTTCTGCGAGCTCTGGGGATCCCAGCCCTGATGCCATGAACAGCGTCCCCACGCCAAGCCCTCACCTCTTGGGAAGCCTCATCAGCGTCGCGCGGCGGCGGGTGGGCTCGCGCACGATGAGGCTCCCGGCCTGGCCTTTGAACGGGACTCCTCTCACGAACACAGCGAGCGTCGATGACTCCAAGACAAAGCCAAAGGCGGTTGACGTGGCCAGAGAAAAAGTGGGTAATAAACGAGCCACAAAAAAGCGGCGTTCCCGACGCGTCTGCGATTCAGACGAGGACGGGGAGCCTTGCGGGCCGGAATCCACCACCTTTTCTACCACCTCAAGCTCGGTAGAGTGTAAGCCGTTGAGATTGAGGAGTAAACGTTCACGAAAAGGTGCTCAGATTTCGGAGTTGAGCAACGAAGAACATGCTACCACGGGCGAAGAGACGGACTCGGTTGGTCCTGCGTCAAAGGGTGGGCGAACTCGTAAGAAGAAGCGTTCCTTGTTGATATGTCCCGAGTGTAAACTTTCCCAAGTGGAATGGTCCTTCTGTGGAATCACAGGGAACCCTCATAAGGTAGAAGACGTTTGATTGTCACTAGAAGTATAGGAGCTAAGGAAGTTTAATACAAGAACTAAACCAAATTCACACTTTGTGAACATGTCTTTGAAGTTTTTGCTTTCCATCCCATCTCAAATATATACAAAGCTTTACCAGTTTCAACACTAAAAATGAAATTTATTGGGTATACATTTATTGCCCAAGCCTTAAATTTCTTCCACTAAGTTGTAAATACTTCTGGGTTACCTATTTTTCAGAAAGGATCGTTTTTCTGTATGGGAATACCTCATTTCACATAATTTTTTATTTGATTCCATAGAATAGGAAAGACTGTTAACTAATGATAACCTTCTCCTAATGAAATCTAATGTCTATATTATACATACATTCAATGCATCTATAACAATGATTTACCTACATCTTTGATATTTCTCCCTTACCTTCTATTCTTTATATACTCTATCCCTCTTTTTGTGCAGTTTGTATGTATATTCTTTGCTTAAGAACTAAGCATCCAACAACATACAAATATATTTATAGATATAATAGTTACTAATATATATATATATATATATATATATATTGTATCTTTAGGAAATAAAAAAGTTAACCCATTCATAAAAAGAGAAAAAAACTGAGCAGGGTGGAGAAACTATTATATATAATTAAAAGAAAAATGGTACAGGTAGGTTCAGCAAATTCAAATACTTCGCGATCCAGTATCGGGAGTGCCGGAAAGGGCGCTTTCAAGCGAAAGAGTTTCAGCACCGTTGTAGGATTAATGCCGGTAGATATTAATGCTATGCTACGCGCAACCCCACTGAACTGTCCGCCGGCGCTTTTTAACGCCGAAAAAGGGGAGCGTCATTCTTATCTTTCTTCTTCCAGTGGAGGGGTAGGTATCCACAACAGTAGACCTATGGAACTTTTCCATTATTACACGGTGCGCGGCTACGCGGAGCTTTTAACGAGTGAGATGGCAGTGAAATCTGCGCTGGGAAAGCTTTCTGCCGAAGAAAGAAACGCTTTGACGAATGGAGGTGGGATCGGAGAGGCGGCGCAGACGCTTTCATTTCTAAACGATGTGCATGGCCCAGCAGAAATGCTAGGACCCTATACAGCAGGTTCTAGCCCCGCTCTCCAGATGGAGGCCGCGGAGAATTTTACTAATCGTCTGACTCTTGAAAAAAAAACAGTGAAAAGGTTGGATTCACTTTGAACACACAAATCGACACCTCACAGCCGCTTTTCCCGCGGTTACGCCCTCCCATGGAAGATGATCAAGGTGTGTGTGTGAAGCTACACGAGGAGTTTACCCGCCGAAAGCAGCTGCAAATTCGAATGCAGCATGCCGCCCTCCCTCCGGAGGAGGTCTACTATTCCACTGTCTACCGAAATCCGACCAAACTCACCAAAGATATGGATGAAAAAATCAAAGAAGAGCTTTTCATGCAGACGATGACGGAGCCTCGGCGGAGGGGCTCGTTTGCGAAGGATCGATCGGATTTCTCGACCCGGGCGAAGACGGCCTTTGCCGCGGCGAATATCACCGTGAACGCGCTATCCCCCCCGCCCCCGACGCGGCGTGGGCTTGGGGTGAGCACCTCTTCGGTCCTTCCGCTCTCCCAGCCGCTGCCGTCGCGGTCGAGCA